ATGTGTGTTTAATATTAAATAATGCAAAATTACCGAAAAAAATATTATAATTCAAAAAGTTGTGTTAAATGCATAAATATAGTAAAATAATATGAATTTTAATGATTAAATAATGCGTTCAATTTTAAAAAGCTAGTCAATATGACAAGTTGTTGTAAATTTAAACTCTATATTTTGTTTAATTAAAAAAAAAAAAAAAAAATATTTTAAAAAGCCAACGGAATATTAATCATAAAATGTTACGAAATTAAAAAAACCCTTAAAAAATATGTATCAAAAATGATATATATATCTTTATTCATAAGATTAATAAAAGACCATAATACTGAGATATAAACATATATTCGTTATATATTATTAAATTATTTACATAATCATTTGTTAGTATAATTAAAATATCCAAAAAAAGTGATCGTGATCTTTAAAAAAATTCGGAGTGACAATTATTTAATAAAAGTTAATAAATGCTTTATATATATATTTAATAAAAGTTAATAAATGCTTTATATATATATTAAATAACTGAAATGTGCAAAAATTAAATTATATATTTGAAACTTTATTAACTGTTATTGAAATATGAATAACATATATAAACGAATGTGTTCTTTGGTCATATCAAAAATTTATATAAATAATGCCTAAGAAGACGTTTTAAATATTATTAAATATATGCAAAAATATTTTATATTAAATTTTAAAAATTAATTTATTTTGGGAATAATTTATATTTTAATATATTTTATTAAAACAATCAATTTAACAAGATATTAGTTGAAACGTTACAATCTGCTGTTTGGAAAATTATTTACGAATAATTGATACCAAGAAATATTTCTAGGTATTTCTTAAAATCTAGTACTGTTCAAAATTCTTTCTATTTAAAATATGGTTTTTTTCGTCATATATAACTTTTAATTAAATTAGAGTAAAAGTGTCATTTTTAAATAAATGTCTCTCAAAATATTTAAAAAAATATTTAAATAAAAAAGAAAAGTGTGATCCTGCCGATGTTATTTTTGTCCTGTGAAACAAAGAAGAATATTTTTAATATGACCAGAATTACAATAATAATAAATGAATAAATCAACAAAATATAAAATACAAAAATTTGTTACAAAAACTGAATATGCATTTCATTTATATATAATTTTAACAATATATTTAAAAAAATTTGAAATTAGTGTGCTGATTATATCTGAAATAAAAAAGTTATATTCAAAAAAAAAACATAAAATGATTTGCAAAAATTATTTTTTTAATTAGCTTATAAACTATTTAAAAAAAATGAATTATATGACGTGCCAATTATCTTTATATATATATGAATAAGTTACTTGTGGAGAAAAGATTTATATAATAAATCAGTATATTAATAATTACAAATTTTATGTTAAATACCTAAAGATATTGATCTGCAGATATACTAAAATGTGTGCTTAAAATTGAAAAATATGAATAATATTAAGAATAATAACACTATTAGAAATAAATACAGAAATAATAATAAAAGCAAAAAATCTAAAAAAAATTTAATTTAATACTTTAATATATTGAATCACGAGTGTTTTTAAATCATTTTGAATCATATAATTAAAAATGTATTTATTTTGTTTATTGATCATAAAAAAAAAATTAAAAATAACTTCGGTAAAAATTAGTCGTTGATTTTTTAAAATTCAATTTATATAATTTATTTGTGTTGTAAAAACGAACATTTACACATAATTACTTATTATTAAAATTATTTGTAAATAAAATTTTTATATATTATGACAATAAATCTATTTCGAAATAAATTCTTTGGTGAGCTGTCTAAAGCAATTCTGCAGAAATATTTTTATAAACAATAGTGTTTAAATTGGAAAAAAAAATTTTTCAATAATAAAGTTAATTTATATAGCCGTGCTCCATGCCATAGTTCTAAACATAGCACAAAAAGTATTGTTGTTGTTACTTCCTTTATCTCCTATAAGAGCATAGGGCCTAAAAGTATAACTGTTCTTTAAAAATAAGTGACAAACTTTAATAAAGGTTTAAATTCGAATAACACAAATTTAGTGTATTTTGATTTTAAGTGTTAACACATAAGTCTACAGCTCGAATTTGACAGGATTCAATTCATCACATATCCTGCTCAAACATTATATACATTATATACAGTCAGTCCATAAAACCAATAGATCTTTCTAAAGTTTATTACATGATTTAAAATAAAAATTAGTAAATTGTAAATTAAATACAAAAATCTATAAGTATAAAATAATAATTATTAATAATAAAATAAAATAGTTGTGGTTAACTTATTTGATTACAAAAAAAAAACCTAAAAAATATATAAAAGGAAGGCCATTTTAAAAAACAAGTTAAATATCTAAATTATTTTAAAAATTCTAAATTACACTAAAATTGAAACATATGGAAGTTCGCATAATTAATTTAATTAAAAATTCATTTAAAACATTTTTAATGGACAGCTGTTATGAAGAACTCAATCTCAATTAATAAAATAAGAAAAATGTAATTATAAAAAATAATATAAACGTTAAAAATTAAATAAAATTTTCTTTAGTTATATCTATAATTATAATTATTAAATTAATTATTTTCTTTTGAGGGTTTTCGAATAGCAAAGAAAGAAAGAAAGGACAAGCACAAAAATTTATTTAATTTTATTGAAATTTGGCTGACTATACAACGCTGTTTCGAGTATTGCCAAGTACTCATCATCAGTGGTCTTAGGAATTCGAATTTTTAATTAGTTTATAGTCCACATATAATTTTTTTGGACTGCAGTGCAAGGCTTAGAACTCGTGCCTGTCAAATTAGAAGCGATGGCTAATCGTGTTTATCCACCAGTAGTCAAGGGTGCAGAAACTTTCAGTGCCGGGTTTTTTTTGTCACTTTTTTATTTAATTAGTGACATTAACCAAAGCACTTGCCGTTCTTTAAATTAGAACGAGCTAAAAAGCTACAGCTTTATTTGGAAACACAAGTTCAACGAATTGAAAGTTAACTTTTGAGTTTTGCCTATATTCTATTTTCAAAACTATTCTTTTTGTAGAAACATTTGTTATGCATATTGTTTACTTAATATATGTAAAGCGCCCATTCTGGTGCTTTTTATAAAGAAACCCTCCAAATTTTAAATATAGCTTCTTTGTCACTATAAAGAAAGCGTGGCTTTATCAGCAATACTAATACATACTTTATTTATTTTTTGTTTCGTAAATCTGTAAGGAAATTATAATATTCTCTTTAAGGTCTTTAAAGTCAATTAAATAATTAATCATAATCCAAAATACTTATGAAGTAAAAGTGATTAATTTTAAAACTGAATAATTGAATAATAATAAAAAGTGTTTTAAATGTCGGTATATTTAAAAAAAATAATGTTAATTTATGTTTTCCTAATTTCATGTATTTATTTTCATAAATTTAAATTAGTTTGTAATTTTTTTTTTTGTAAGTTAACTTATTATTATTCAACATATCTTAGTAATTATTATCAAGACGTGAGTTTTATTCACTTTAATTTTGAAAAAGTGGTACTTTTCCTACTTGTTTTGTTCCCATTTCTTTTCCTTTCTTTTCCTTTAATATTAAATATATTAAAATCGTCTTCTTCCAGATACAAAAGAAATATTTAATGCGTACTTATATGGAGCTGAAAAGCTTTATGAGTATCTGTAAATTATTTATTGTAATAATTATTGTGTAATTATATTAAAATTAAATTTTATATTTGAATTAATTTTCCACTTCAATGTAAAATAAATAAGTTAATAAACTCAATAATATTTTTTTTATTAAAATGTTATTTTTCAAAGTTTCATGAAGATTTTCAAAATTAAATATTAAATATATTAAATTAAAAGTATTTATAACTATATATATTATTATAAATAAATCACTTCTCGCTCTTCATTTCGTTTTTTCAACGAACTCTATAATACATTATAATATATTACTTCACATTCTTATCTCATTAGTATTAGTATTAAAGTGTAAATTATTGTTTTCTTTTACTTTAACCTTTTGATATCACTGTCGTCACTGATAGCATTTCACAATTTGTTAATAACATATTTCACGATTTTAATGAGGTTTCAACACATTATTATATTGTAGATAAATAAATTGGACTACTTAGTAAGCAGTAAGAATAGTAAGAACAACAATAACGCCATATCTACCCAGATGTAATAGAAATAATAGTTATTGCAAAGTATCTTAGGATAACTAAATTATTAATTTTTAAAAGTGAAGAGGCATTAATTCCAAAAGTGCTCAAAAAATATATTGTGGTTGAGTACAATGGCAATAAGATGCAGTGCATCGATAAGATAAGTTCAGTGTATCGGTAGATGCATTGCAGTCGTACACAAGTAAAGTATTAATTTAAATAGATTTGCATTTATTTATGCGTTCAGATTTATTGATATGCCACCCCCAATACAAACACAACAAGCAGATAAAATATATGACTTACAGTAGGCTTCGAACCCATTATTATAAATAAAAATTAAAATTAATAATAAAAAGTTTTATATAAAGTTATTATAAAAATATTTAATATATAAAATCAATTTTATTTAAACATATTCAATGTTTTTTAATCAAAATAAAATTATTATAAATATATTTAAAATATAAAATCAGTTTTATTTAAACATATTTAATATTTTTTAATCAATACTTAATTTTTTTTAATGACAATTAATTAATATGAAAATAATGCAAGCTCAAAATAACATTATGAATCACTCAAGTGCATCGTTTCTTTCAAAAAGCAACTTATAACGCATAATCATTAATTTTTTTGAAATTATACTATACTAATTTATGTAAGGACTTCGTAATCCATAGTCTGCCATAATTAATCTATAAATACTTTAATAAAATTTATATTTTGTGCAGCTTTAAAACTTAAGAAAAAAGAAAAGTTAAGGAAAAATAAGAGAGGAAAATATAAAAAAAACATTAATTAAAAACAAAAACAAAGTTAAAGTGAAAAGTTTTTATAAATTGTGGCGCACAAATTAATAGAAGAAAGTTTTTCACTTTTAATGGCAAAAAGTGTTTAAATGTGTGCACTTAAATAATCCCATAAAATCAAGAAAATCGCACATAGAACGTCAATTTTCTACAAAATCAACAAAATCAAATTTTGGTAACATCTCAAGCAAACAAAAAAAAAAGAAGCAAAAAGTCGTAATGTCATCGTCAACTTCTGAAATTCCTGTGAATCCCAGCTGGACAGTAGCGAGCAGCGAGAGTAGCACTGAATCAACTAGTAGCAGCGCACTTAGTAGTTCAACAGTTGCTACAATTGTGGAAACTGTAAAAACTTTTGTAACTACCAGCTCGACAACACTTAATGCAGCAACGATCAGTACAGATAATATCGCTACACACTCGACCTCAATGGGAACGGAAAGTTCCTCTTCCGTTGCAGCTGTTATGGAACACAACACGCCTGCCAACAAAATGAATGTGGCCGATTTGAGTGCTTCATTGCAGCATTTTGGTTTCGTTGATTATTTTGTATTTGTGTTAATGCTTTTGGTTTGTGCCGTAATTGGGTTTTACTTTGGTTTTGTTGAGAAGAAAAAGAAGAAGCGAAATATGGAGGAGCGTCGTGGTTCGGAGGCTTTGGACTATCTGGTGGGTGGCCGAAAGATGAAAGTATTTCCGGTGTCATTATCATTGGTGGCCAGGTGAGTGTCTTTGTTTAGTATGAATTCTCTTTAAAATTTGGATTAAACATGTGTGAGTGGAAGAGTGATTAATGATATTACATACTATTTCAGTAAGTGCCTTTGCTTTAAAAGTTAGGTAATAGTGTTCACAGAGTTTTTTTTTGGTTCAGTCACAGACAAATTGTTTTTTGGTTAATAGTTGGAAAAGACATTTATATATTTCCGCACTTTAGTTCTGTTGTGGTAGAGCTTATAGCTTTCTAAAATTGATTGAAACATAATTTTTTTTAAAAAAATTTAATTGAATTTAAGTCCGATATAAATTTTATAAAAATTCTTTTCACAAAGCACTAAAAAATATAATGAAATATGCAAGACAAAGTGGCCCGAAGTATCGCCAAAAAATCTGAAAACAGATAAATGAAATTCTTTAAATTCTAGACACGTTGCTCGCTCTGAAAATTATTACTGGGAAAGCAAAAAATGTGAAAAGCGCGCGAAAAGTTATGATTGGCGACTCAGCTTGAGCTTTTAAAGACACTACAACACTTTCAATACTACACGGAATCTAGTAGTCTTAATGGTGAAATCCTAACGTACTACAGTTAATTTACATTCAAGCAGATTCATTCAAATGTGAGACTTGGGTAAAAAATGTTTAAGTACTTTAAGATTGTCTAAATTTAGGAACATTCGAAGCTTTAGTTGAGACAAGGTCAAGCAATTGAACAATTGAAATGTTGCTGAAAAGTCACTGTACTGTTCAAAAAAAAATTTGGTGTTATTTATTTAAGTTCAAGATTAGTTAGTTCGTAAATAGATATTTTTATACAATTTTATATATTATTTAACTTTACCAGGAAAGATTAAAGTGGTTTTTAGAAAATGATTTTTTGATAGGAATGAAACAAAATATCAACGATATCTTCATTAATATTTCTAAAATGAAAAAAACGAAAAAATGATTAAAATGGAAAACAAAGTTATCATTTCAAGTAAAAATATAACTTGAACCTGTTTAAATTCAGTAATGGAATAACTGTAATTATAAAAACTATAGAATCAAAAGTTGATTTGATTCAAGAGCTTTTTAGTGTTTTTAACATAATAATAAAGAACACATAAGTCCTTCTTCGTGAACGCACATAGTCCATTTAATTTCTAAATATGTAAATAACTAACTATACATATATTAATTGTCAGGAATATGGACACACAAGAATATTGTGCTAATTTGACAGAATATGCATAATCTGCTCAGAATTTCATCTAATCGAGATATGTCCAAAAAAGCAAAATAGACGACAAAGTTAACAGTTAAAAAAGTTAAACGAATTTAAAATGATGTCAGTAAAGCTCAAGTGAATGCAATAAACTTTGTTAATATCATAAAATATCCATTATTCCCAGAAATTCATTTATATATTGTATTCAACAAATCGCTAAAATCGCTATATATGATATTCCCAGTAATTCATTTATATATTGTATTCAACGTTAAAATCGCTATATTACACAAGTGTTGTTAAGAATGCTTCAACAAACAACAAATATTGAAAAAGCAGTGGACACACGATAGTAACCCAATATGGTCCTAAGCACCTATGTTTTTCACTTATAAAAAATTTAGAGTGCATGCAGAAAACCATACCACTCAAAAAATAATCAGAAACCATGGTGATTAAAATGCTTATAAAGATCTGACCATCCTTCTAGTCATCGATATGGCTTGAACACATTTGGCAAAATATGGATTAATATCCTTACGCCAGGCAGTTGCTCCAAATTTAAGAACTTCGCGTCTATACAAGAAGTGTATACTGAGCTGTTGATGTCAAATTCGAATTTAAATAAATTCCTTATTAATTAACAAGTTAAGTCTTCACATTTTATATTTATTTCTTGAGAAAGACTTTAAAATTAGTGTTAATTTCTTGAATAAAGAAGTATTCAATAAAACTGCAAAATAAATCTCTCTATAATCAAAATAGCAATTAATAGAAGATATATAAGGTTTTAATTTTATTTATTTATAAATTATAATTCGTAGATAATTGTTAATACATTTATAAAATTTGTATTTAAATCAATCATCTTATTTAAAAATGTTTGCAGTTTTGTTTCTGGTATTTCGTTACTTGGCACTTCCACGGAAATTTATGTTTACGGCACTCAGTACGCTTTTATATTGATTACACTGGCCTTGTCTGGAGTTATATCCTGGTACGTGTTCCTGCCGGTATTCTGCAATTTACAATTAACTTCCACTTACGAGGTACGTACAGCATTGGTCAATTCAATATTTATTGCACTTATTCTACACAAATGCACGTTGTTGTTGGCGCTTTTTGTATGATTTGCTTGTTTTTGTGTTTGTCTTACTGCAAAATTGGAAACGAAATTGGATTCTCATAGACTTTGTGTAACCAGGCATAGATAGTCATACTTAAATATCCTTTTTTCCTTCATGCAATCATTAAATTTAAATACATACTAAAATCAATAACATAAGAATATTTACTTTAAGTTCTAAAAATTTCTCATACCAATTTATCAAAATAAAATCAAATCTCCATCACTATATAAATAACAAATAATAATTAATAATATTTAAACATGTAATTTTAACACAATATATTACTATATATTACATACTTTTAAACATAATCGATTCACTAATTTTTTTAGTGAATAATTCAATTGGGATCAGAAGCAATGTTCTATTTTTTTTTAATGAAACCTATGACGGATAACAACATTTGGGTTATATATATATATATGGTTCATTATCAGTAATTTAAAAAATATATTGTAGACTGATGATATTCTTCTTCAAAAATCAATAATATAAAGGTAACTTGCCTACAGTGATTACTCGTGAAGTTGCATATTCAGTCTGCCTTATTTTTAATTTTTTCTAAAACCATAATTATATTTATTAAATTTTATATTATTATTGAGTTGTCAAGGTACTTTAACCACAATCTTATCTCAAAAAATCTTCTCAAAGATTTATCCCAACTGCACCGAATTCTAATACTTCTTTAAGCTGATCTTAGTTCTGATTCATTATGACATTTTACATGTCATTAATTTAAAATAAATTGAGTGAAGTCTGTGTACTTTCATTTATAATTCTATTAGATTACAGATTCTTAAAATATATATACAGGCACTCAAATTAGGACATTTATGTAAGACGTATTAAGAAATTTTTTAAATCGCTTTAATCAATTTACTTAGGTTAAGATTTTCATGTAGACATCAGTTTCTGACAATAATTCGTGATCCTTGAAATGGCGCTATAAACCATTATAGAGCTGAAGCTAAGCATCGGCAGATTTTAATATTTTTTCCTCCTATACTAATAATTTAGACTATGAAGATCTTCAATTAAAATCTTTAGTGTCGGTGTTGCTTTTACATTAAACAATGCTTGCAAAGTAATTCGATATAATAATCGATTTCGGTTCTACCTAAGTTAATAATAATATAATAGAAATAAAAAGGGCATCAACTTGTAACGGACCGGAGCACCAAACAGGACAGAACACATTCCGTCTTTCGAATAAAAGTCAGAAAGCCAGCCAGCAGCTGTTAAGGATCACCTTATGTCAGAAGGGGAGAGTAGTTCTCGACCCAGTAATCTCCTTCTGGCCCAGATTGAGGCTGGGCACCTAAGTTAATTGGTTTGAGATAGAGTAACAGATGGTCAAATTTATTAATCTCACTTTCTTAGCAAATTCGTGTTTTTTGGAGAAAGAATAGAATATAAAATATTTGTAAGTATTGATTGCGATATCGGAATTTGGTAGAGTATAACTGGTATAGCATGCCAGTTCAAGTATTTTACATTTGTTGTGGTAGTTACTGTGTAGTTTAAATTAATACTCTTACAAATCTTTCAATTTTAATAATTTCAAATAAGAAATAAACTAAAACGTACAGAATTATGTGACTTCATTAATGAACAATTAAATTATTAGTTCTATTTCCCATTTATTTTTACTTCTTTTTATATACTCGTAATATAATTATAATAAAATTGTTTAAATTTAAGATTCGTTTTGTGCGATTTTTGATATAAATCTATAATTATTGAAGATACCATTTGATCAAAAAAGAACGAGAAGTTAAAAAAAGAACGTTAATGTTAATGTTAATTTTTAATAATTTTCTTTATTATCGCCTTCAAACTACTTTCCTTCGGCGGCAATATATGCATGCCCACGCTTGATCCAATTTTCCATACAAGTTGTATAGGCCGCCGAAGGTATGGCCTTTAGTTCAAGCAGCGAATTCTCTTTTATGGCTTCTATGGTCTCAAAACGCGTTCCTTGCAATGGCAATTTGAGTTGGGAGAACGGAGGAAGAGGAAAAAGTCACACGGGGCCATATCTGGAGAGTACGGTGCTTGGTTGATGATTTTGGTGGAGTTTTTGGCCAAAAACTGCGACACAACCAACGCTGTGTGAGCCGCTGCGTTATCGTGGTGTAAAATCCATGAGTTTTCCTTCCATAAATCTGGCATTTTTTTGCGAACGCAAACGACGCATAACGGCTAAATAATACTCCTTATTAACCGTTTGACCATTCGGAAGGAATTCATAGTGCACTACACCATGAATATCGAAGAAACCAGTAAATTTTTCGACTACTTTGTATAGACGCCAAACAAAAATTAATCGTACGATATGCGTAAAACTTTGGCAGAATATGTATAATAGTGTTGCCAGCGTGAAAATAATTTACCGATTGGATGAGCACGGGAATTCAAAAATTAAAATTCTCGTTCTTTTTTGATCACAAGGTATTTTAGCCTTTATTCGAAAAGCTGAGACTCTTCTGCCTATATCTCACTGATTAGAATTTGTATTTCACAGATTAATATTTTTCAATTAGTGTTATTGTCAAAGATATATTTAAGATGACACTGTTCTTTTATGGTACTTTTTAGAAATGTATGAATTCTGACCTATTTAATATTGCTCTTTTGTTATAATGAAATAGTTAGTTTGGTTACTCTTGACTTAGAAACGCAATAGAAAAGAACTTCCATTGTTGAAAAAATTCAAGCATAAGCTCTGTTCTGTTGAAGTTGAGATTCTGTTTCCTGTATTTTTTCCATAGACGCTGTATTTATATACTTTTATAACGTGTATACTGTTGAAAACTCGAGAATTCGATACAAATCAAACAAATCTCCCAAGTAGGTCACTTTTTTCCATTTTCGTAAAAATTCAGGAGGTTGTCTGCTTTGAACGGCTATCAAACACTAACTGAACGACGTAGCTTGCTCAAAATTAGAAAGTTGCCCACTGGTAGATTACAGCTGACGGCAGCACTGTTGCATTTGGAGTAACTGCGCGGGAAATTCAAAAAGTCACTGACTTATCAAACCGCCCTCGTATTACAAAAAATTATGAACGTTTTATATGAAAAGAATCTTTAATCTTTTCAGTAATAATTTAATATATTGCAGATATGAATATATGATAGTACAATTATAAATATGGTATAATTATATTATCCGGATAAAAAAACTTAACACTACACTTTTTACTACTCGTAGCAATCTATACTATATAAGTAATTTATGTATAAAATAACAATTATTTATTATTTTCTAAATTTCATATATATACAAAAGTGAAGTATTTTATTTAATAAGAAATACAAACTTACAGTTAGTGCTCAGCAAAATGTCAGTTAAGTTTCCAAATCGAAAAATTTTAGACATTTTTCATGATAAATTTATGAATTTGTTGTTTGAATATAGTGATTTGAATATAGCTGTGATACAAACAGATCTTTAAGAACATATTACTGTATTGCCAAATTTTTTAAAATTCTATAAATTTTGTTATGATTTGGCTCTTAGCTATGTATATGTAAGCAATTTACAAATTGCTGAAGAATGGCTATCAAATCGCTTTATTGTTTTACATTTTCAAATTTAAAATTTTTTAGAAAATTTATCATTTGGATATTCATGATCACCCATTACTAAACCTAATAAGTTCACATACATTGCATAATTTAACAGCAAAGTTTCGAGATATGCAAACATTCGTGAAAAATTTTCTGTTCAAATATAGGTTAAGAGACTGGACTACTAGGTCCTTCGCTATAAAAATTAATTTAATCTGTGAGAAATAAATTCCTGATAATGTTCAAGAGGAATTCGAATTGAGAGACATTAAATTCAAATTTGAATTGAGATCAGAAACTATGAGATCAGAAATAATGAGATGATAAACTAGATATATACATTTGATATTAATGAATCCGGAAACACATTGGAACAATACAAACATTAAATAATGAAGAGAATTAAATATATACGAAACGGTTTTCAATTATATATATTTTCATTAGTTAATTTTTGTTGTATATATAAATATATATATATATATATATAAAAAAGCAAAAAGTGACTTCTTTGGAAGTAGTGTGAACAGTTTCGAAATAACTTGATTTTATAATTGTTTTAATAAAAGTGTCTGATTTTACTGAGTATATAAATAGATACAGAAAAACCAAAACTCGAAAATAGTTACATTGCTGCAAAGTGCGAGCAACGGCAAAAACAAAAATAAAAACGAAATAAAGATAAAAATAAGATTTGGTGTGTGAACAGGGTTTTAGAGCCGTGTGTCGAACTAGTAAAATTACAATCAAAAGTATATGGGTATATATAAATCTATAATTGTGATGCGAATAGTTGTGTTGTTGTATTATAGACATTTTATTTGAGTAATATATGTTGTTTCAGGTTTATAAATTAAAATCAAAACAAATACAAAAAAGTACTAAATATAAAGGCATAAAATATTAAAATATATATAATTAAAAATTTTTTTGAAATTAAATTATACATTATATTATAATAATTTATTTTATTAATTTCATATATAAATAAATTAATATGTCATATTTAATAATATGTATTAAATAATTTAAACTATTTATTATTGTATCTAATATTAAATTATCAATTATCTAACTTTAATTATTATTTAGTTAAAAGTGGTTAGTAATATGAGCTCATAATTTTATGTAGAGCTGCTGTGCGTTTTAACTATAAAACATACTTTAAAAATCGCTTTGCTATAGCTACATATATTAAATACTAATCGATATTTACCGAAACTGTAAGTTAACATTAATTGGGTGTTGTGCACTATTATGATTTCAAAATATTGCAGTATTTAGAAATGCGGTATGACAAAAGTATTCGCCTGCTTGGGTCCGTGCTATTCACTATTGGAACGGTAAGTAAAACTAAAATTAAAAGTTATATTAAATACAAAATTATATGTCAAGGTGAAATTAATTTTATTGTAAGAAATTGTAAAAAATATGAAATTTTTTAATTAATTTCGAATTTATTGTGTATATACGAACTCTGCATTTTATATTTTTAAAAATAATTAAATTCATTGTTGTCCGCTGTTTTTCTGTTTTGCTGTATTGCGGTTTATTTTCAAATTTTTAATGGTCATCTTCGATGACATTTTTCCAAACTTTCTCGAATGGCATTCTAGACGTTGTGGTTGCCCATTGTTATATTTGTTCCAGCGTTGGCATTTAATCAAGGTGAGTTGTAGCTATTGAATTTATACTGCCAAGTACTTGAAATTAAAATTTCAAATTTTTAATAAATATTTATTTTTTTATTTTTATAAAAATAAAAAATTTTTAGTAACTGGTGTGAATATTCATATTGTGACTCCAGTAGTATGCATCGTCTGTATATTTTATACTTGTGTGGTATGTAAATGAATAAATAAAAAATTATTCGTGAATGATTTCGTTGTTTATAATACTTAAATAATTAGGGTGGAGTAAAAGCTGTCATATGGACTGATGTCATACAAACTGTAATTATGGTTGGTGCTATTATTTTGGTCATCATTAAGGGTACAAGTGATGTAGGAGGTCTGGGAGTTGTGTTGCAGCGTAATTACGACAGTGGACGAATAGAAATGCCTACGTAAGTATTATTACCCAGATAGAAGATAGAAATTGGTTGAAATATTGATATCTTTAAGACTTTATTAACGGAATAAAGAGTTGAGTTCTATGAAAAACTCCTCAAACCTATAAAATTAGGTTTGATAGGAATGAAATTATATAAATACCAGAATTTGACATCACCTCTTTTTTTAAGATATTTGAAACAGAAAACTAAAAAGCCATCATTACAATTAGAATTTTTTAAAATAATTTCTTTTTATTATTGAAGAAAAATCTCAGTATTTGGGATTTAATAAAAAAGTAGTGGCATTTTGTGGTTATGCACCGTATCGTGTTTTTAAGTGTAAAATGCATTTTTTTAAGTACTGGTTGCACTACCAGTAACGTGCCTACTAACTCAGCCGAATCAGCAGACGTATATTGAGTTTATATTGTGTGGTAAAATATTGTATTAAAGTGTTTGTTTAAAATTTTGTGTTATAGCTGAATTGAGTAAGAAAAAATTAATAATTTGTCTTATTTTTTGATCACTCATTAAACATTTATTCTGAAATCCAATACTTACTTGGGGATACTCGATATATACCATACTTAAAATAAAACAATATTTTTTATAAGCAAAGAGATTTTTAAGCTTTCTGCTGTATATATTTTTATACTTTATTATATACAATTAATAAATAAATGCATAAAGATTTGATCAATTTTTCATAGTTTTATTCTTTTTTTATTAAATACTACAAATGTTTAATTTTTATCTGCCATTCTCTATGTTGGTAATAAGTAATAATAAAATTTTGTTTTAATTATTTTGTTTAGAATTACTTTGGATCCAACAGAACGTATTTCGATGCTTTCACTATTTTTGGGAGCAACGTTTTACTACGTGCAAGTTACAGCTGGAAACCAAGTTATCATACAAAGGTTTCTATCACTTCCAGGCGCCAAAGAAGCAAAACATGCGTTGATTCTATACATAATAGGAGTTATTATATTGTTATTAGGTTGCGCATATAATGGTCTCCTGATATATGCAACATACCATGACTGCGATCCGTTAACTACAAATGTAAATATTTTTCAAATTTTCTTATTTAAATTTAAATTTTTTTATTTAATAAGTCCAATAATCTATATAAATCAAACTATATTATTTTAATATTGTATTGAATATTATTTTCAGCATATATAGTATGTATTGAATTTATACCAGAACAAATGAAATAGCTACAACATTTTAATTTGTTGTTATGAAGAATAGCGAATATGGCTGTTAGAGTTTTAAATTTTAATTTAAATAACAAATCAAGAGTATTAAGTAAAATGTTGAAAAACTTTCATCTGATATTTGCAGTTAGCAAAAGCAAAGGATCAAATGGTACCTTTATTGGTAATGGACATCTTAAGTGTTTATCCCGGCACAGCTGGGCTATTTGTGGCGGGTGTCTTTAGTGCAGCGCTCAGTTCCTTATCCACTGGTTTAAATTCCCTTTCAGCAGTGTTTCTCGAAGACTTCATAAAAACATTTCGTAAAAGTCCTCTAACAGAGCATCAAACTGCAATTATAATGCGAGTATCTGTGGTAGTAATGGGCGTTATTTGTGTTGGGTTAGTTTTTGTTGTCGAACGTTTGGGTGCGGTCTTACAACTTTCAATGACACTGGGTTCTATAACAAGTGGTCCATTATTTGGACTATTTCTAATGGGTGTTCTTATGCCTTGGATAAATGGCAAGGTAAAACAGTTTAAAAACAAAATAAAAAAACTATATTTTATAAATATTTTATTCGAATAGAGTGCTTTATGTGGTAGCATTGTAGCGTACGCTATAATGAGTTGGATTTGTATAAGAGGACAAATAGCACTTGCAAGTGGTGAATTGGTATATCCCATGAAGCCTTTCTCTACTGAGGGTTGTACTTATAAGTTTGAAGAGCTTATAACACCGGCGAATCAAACTGTAGTTTTACAAAGGTAAATACAAGAATTAAAAAAATGTGTTCAATAACTGCTTTCTCTTAAAATGATTAATTAATTTAATATTCTTTTAGCGACAAAACATTGGCTCAATATATTTATCAGATGTCTTTTATGTTATATGTAACTGTAGGTGCCATATTATCAATTATATTCTCGCATATAGCATCGCTGGTATTTGGACGCAATGATCCTAAAAAAATGAACATAGAGCTTTTTTCGCCTTTTATAAGAAAATATATCAAACCAATGGAATATGAAAGTGTACAAATGGGCGAACAGAATGTGATATTGATAACTGAAAAAAATAATTATATAAAATCATAGAATCTCCTTTAAATAAAAGATTTTTTTATTTATTATAAGTATTGTAATTTAAAATTTTATGTTTTGCTGGCAAACAATATACTTAAGTAAAATCGCCATTCAGAAAAAGTAGTTTTTTTTTTTAATTTTGCACAAACTATTCTTTAACTTAATTTTTAACAAATTTAGTTAATGGTTTTTATTATTGTAAATAATATAACAACTAAAAGTTACTGCATAACGCTTCATTGCACCGCACTAATAACAAAACTATACAAAATTTTTTTTAAAACATTTCAAACTAAGTTAGGCTTTCTGCTTGTTAATAAAATAATTTTTTATTAAATTTTTTTATTAGTACTTTGAGATGCGGTTTGGACGAGGTGTACGATATTTCGGATCTATACTTTTCACAGTTGGTATGGTAAGCTTCTATATTAAAGAATATTATTCCATAATAATCTGCTGTTTTTAAAGGTACTTTACTTACCGGTTGCCATATATGTGCCAGCGCTTACCTTCAACCAAGGTATGTAGCTTACAATTAGTAGCCTTATTATATTTAATATAATACTCTCTCTGTCTACTATATCAATTAATCTGATTATATTAGTACAACAGTAAAATTAATTTTTGCTCTATTGGGCATAAATTACAGTAATACAGTGTGGAAATATATGACGGTAAGGAAGTTATTGGTCAGACTATTATAATATTATCTAAGAAAAGTGATAGGGATCAATATCTGTTATTAATTTTTTAAATTTAACATTTCAATCACAATGTAGGAGTGGGAGATAATGCAATTTTTCCCACAAAATTAATACAGTAATTAATGATCTTTATGAGGTAGAGTAGAGTGAAGTGTTGGAAATTTGATAACTGACAGGACAGAATATTTGTGAAGTAACTAGTGCTTGTAATTTTAAGACCATCGTCAAAGTTACAAAAGCTAGTATTGAAAACGAAGCCCGTTCTATGAACATGGTTTTTCAATTGTTTGTTTGCAGTTCAATACTGTTGTTAATAACTTTTGGAAATCCCATACCCTGTGGAATTTTCTTAAACGTACAATGAGTTATAGTGGAGACTCACCTTTATTAAGAGTTAGGATTATTCCTGTGCTAAATAATAAGTTTCGAAGTTAGGATGTATTGGAATGAAATTTTTATTTCGTTTGAAATGACTTTTTATTCAGTAACAAAACTTTGTACAGAATTTTTTTATGTGGCGTAGTAAAGAAGTTACAGAGTGTCACTGCAAAGCCGTCAAAAATATAGACTTTCATAAACCACATAGTATCTATACCGAATCTTCGGCAGTTGGTGATTCTAGTAAAATATCTAATTAAATTAGAACCACAGCTGAAAAATAAAGATTCAAATTTCATAATTTCTATTCTTAATGATTCATATTTTATGGATTTATGTTATTTACAGTGAGTGGAATCGATATACATTTGATTACACCGATAGTTTGTCTTGTGTGTACTTTTTATACTTGTGCGGTGCGTATAAGTTTTTCGAATTAAATTTAAAATATTCAATAAAATAAAATTCAAAATTTCAAAAAAATATTATTTCATTACAAAGGGCGGTCTTAAAGCTGTAGTTTGGACTGATGTTATACAGAGTTTCGTTATGTACGGAACTGTTATATTGATATGCATAAAGGGTACTTATGATGTGGGAGGCTTAAGTGTGGTTTTAGAACGTAATGCAGCAAGTGGTCGTCTAAATGCGCCAGAGTAAGATTTACTAATATATTTTTTCAACAACTTTTCATACACTCTGTATTGATATTAAATTTCTTATGTGTATATCTTTTCGTTACTCTTAGTGTTACTTGGGATCCTACTGTACGGCTTTCTATACTTTCAGTACTTGTGGGTGGAACACTCCATAAAATACAATCATCTGATGTAAATCAAGTTTCCATACAACGATTTTTATCATTACCTACCCTGAAAAAAGTTAAACAGACTATGATCGTATATACAATTTTATTGATATTTTTACTTTTTTGCTGTTGTTATATGGGTTTAATAACATATGCTACTTTCCACGACTGTGATCCATTGACGACGAAGGTATTTCCATATAAAATTTAAGTGTGGGCAGTATTTTGTATTCACTTAAACAAATCTATTTAAAGCTTGCAACCGCTAGGGATCAATTGCCCACACTTTTAGTGATGCGTACATTAGGTGCAATTCCAGGACTACCAGGACTCTTTGTGGCTGGGGTCTTCAGTGCTGCGTTGAGCTCACTTTCTACTGGGCTGAATTCTTTGGCGTGTGTTATATCGCAAGATATAGTTAAACCATTAATAAAACCTCTTACGGATGTACAAATGGCTGTGTTACTGCGTTTAATTGTGGTATTTTTTGGTGTGGTGTGTATGGCATTGGTTTTCGTGGTGGAAAAGTTAGGCATGGTATTGCAGTTATCAACGATGATATCAGCCGTTTCAATGGGACCATTGCTGGGTATCTACACTATGGGTGTATGCTTACCTTGGATTAATGGCAAGGTAAACTTGTAAATATTTATTTTCTTTATACAGATTTAAAATTTTTAGAGTGCACTGACAGGTGGCTTAGTGTCCTTTTTTACCACAAGTTGGTTAATAACAAATGCCCAAATATCACAAATGAAAGGTGAGCTTAGACATCCTACGTTACCTGTATCCGTAGAAGGGTGTTCATATGCATACGATAATTTTACAATTGCTTTTCAGACAGAACAGTACGAGTAGGTTTTTGAAAGACTTAAAAGAAATTTATTAAATCAATTTTTTCAGTGGTTCCAGTGAACGAAATATATATCATTTATCATTTCTGTGGTTTACATCTCTAGGTGGCGTAATATGTATTACTGTAGCTGCTTTGTCTTCATTATATTATGGAAGAAATAATATTAAGAAAATAGATCCTGCCCTATTGTCACCTCTAATAAAACGTTATTTGCCGAAACATCAAAGTGATATTAGTAATGTTGAGATAGAAAATATTTTAAAAAATTGATTTCAATATTTTATAATAAAATTAATTATTTATAAGGATAAATTTTTATTTAATTTTATTATTTGGTTATAGTTAACTCGAGTATTAGAGATAGTCATTGGTATTTAAGATGGTCGTGGTGTTCAATATTTTAATGACTATTTCCTTAGCACTTCATTTTGCATAATTGTGGGTATTTAGTTTCTATTCTTCGCTTATGTGTGTGTAATATATTTGTATGTATTTTGTCCACATTATCTAAGTACGTACCACATTGTTAACACTTAAAATTTTAAACTATACATTTAGACATTTGCAAATAATCTCTGTTTTTAGTATTTTGAAAGACGTTTTGACCGACGAGTACGTCTATTTGGTTCAGTCTGTTTTCTTACATTAGCGGTAAGTGAAAATAAATAATCACAGGAAGAATTAAAGAATAATGTTTTGTACTATATAAAGATATAATAATTTTTAATTTTATTAACATATGTTTATTACTTAAACTTTATAATCTCAATCCTATTGTATGGTCAGCCAAAAATTCAATTAATTAAAATAATATAAAAAATAAATTTTTGTTGTTGTATTTCATTACTGTTCGAATAAACCTCTTTATTAATCATTTAATAAATCGTTAATTTAAAACTTCAGAATATATAAACATTTTAAGAGCAAATGTTTGTTGATTTCGTCTAGTTGATGGCGTAAGCAAAACTAAACTTAAACTTTTATTTAAATTTAATATAAGTTATTTGTAATATATCAAAATATAGGTATGCTTTAATTATACTTTGACTATATAAAACCTTTTGCAACATTTAGATTTTGTGGATGCCAATATCCATATACGTGCCTGCTCTTACTTATAACCAGTGTAAGTTTCTTTCATTTTTATTTTTTATAAATCTATTATTTTTTCTTTCAAATAGTAACTGGAATCAATGTTCATACTATAACCCCTGTACTCTGTGTGGTTTGCACCATTTATACGAGCATCGTAAGTATGAAATTATAAAAAAAATAGATAAACAATATCGTAATACCGACTTTTAAATTATTTTTTTTTACTGAATTAGGCATTGTAGTTTCAATGCCTAACTGGGTTGGCAGTCCCTGACTTTCGACCGTTAAAATTTTTCCGGAATATCATGATGTGACCTAAAACTAAATCCCTCTACTTTAAATAAATGCCTCACTATTGCATTATACACACCTGTTGCTGTTGTTATGATCATTTTTTTCGCTAAAATGTTATTTTTCATTTTTATTTGACTTATTATTCTTATTTGGGATCAATAGATCCCTTTCACTCCGGCATGATTTTCCGCTTAATTTTTCTGTAGTAAATTCCATTTGTTATAGGTATACTCCATCGCTCATATTTTTACACCATATATATATAATATCTGTTAATATGACAGTTGGAAGTTGAGTTATATATTAAATAAGAATAAATCCTAAGTCTTTACTCAAATGTTGTCGACAACATTTTAAAAACAAAATTAATTAAACAATTATATTAACAAATATTGCATATAATTGTGTTATATAAATAAAACATATTTTTATTTTGTACATATAGGGAGGCATAAAAGGCGTTATCTGGACTGATGTACTGCAAAGTTTCATAATGGTTGGCGCATTATTATTTGTTGTTATAAAGGGAACAATCGATGTAGGAGGTCTAACCGAAGTTTATAGACGAAATTTGGAGTCAGATCGTATAGTTCTACCAGAGTGAGTTCAGAAATATATTTTTAACAAAAATGTTGACTATTTGTGATATTACATACTATTGAAATTCTTCCAATCTAATAGACTTACCTTTGATCCGACAGTGCGTATGAGTATGCTTGCTGTCTTGATTGGTGGAGCGGTGTTTAAATTACAAGTTTGTGCTACCAGTCAACCAGCGGTGCAACGTTTTATGTCACTACCAGATATGAAGTCTGTGAAGAAGACTTTAATAGTGTTTATAACGGGATTTGCGGGACTACTGGGTTTATGTATATATATTGGCTTATTAGCATATGCTGCATATTATAACTGCGATCCAATTACAACAAAGGTATGTTGAAATAATTCCAATAATTGGAATATATCATTTTTTGTGTACTGATTATATTGTAGTTAGCACGTGCAAAGGATCAGGTTGTGCCACTATATGTTATGCACACTGTTGGCAGTTTCCCCGGTGTCGTAGGTCTTTTCATTTCAGGAGTTTTTAGTGCTGCATTAAGTTCGCTATCTACTTTACTAAATTCTTTATCTGGTGTTGTGTTAAAGGATTTTATTGAACCATATCGTTCTAAACCCTTAACGGAATTTCAGACTGCAATTATCTTACGATTAGTGGTTGTAGTTTTTGGTGTATCATCGCTGGCTTCGGTGCATATTGTTGAAAAATTAGGAATGGTTATGCAACTATCGGCGACTGTGGGGTCAGCCACTTCAGGACCGTTGTTGGGTGCTTTTACAGTTGGAATGATGATGCCATTTGTTAATACAAACGTATGTAAGAATATGTGTTCATACCATATGTGTTTTATGAATGACCATTTTTAGAGTGTTTTCACTGGTTGCATCAGCTCGGCACTTTTGATGACGTATATAACTGTGCGTGCACAAATTGATATTGCAAGTGGTGTGCTGAAACATCCAACGAAGCCTGTTTCAGTTACTGGGTGTACTTATGATTTTAATTCAACACATTTACTCAATTCTAGTATTTACGAGTAAATAAATGTTGCAATTTATTTGTTTATATACTTTTGAAATATTCATTATTGTTTTGTGTATTTTTTTATAGGGCACCACTTTTCGAGCCGAAAATTGAAAGCAGTTTGCATCATATATCCTTCTTGTGGTATACCTTGGTTGGTGCTTCGACTACAATTATAGTTTCTCTATTAGCTACATTATATTTTGGAAAGCAGGATGTCAGTGAACTGGATCCAGCTTTGATTGTACCATTCTTCCATCGTTTTATGAAAACTAAGAAATATGCCAGTATCAGAAATTTAAAAAGTGCTAATGAGTTGAGTAAATTCGACAACCAAACCGAAGAAGTCGAATATAAATTTACTGATCAAAACGAGCGTAGAGATGTCTTGTAACTTTTATGTACACTTAAAATTGTTAAACGACAAATAAAAATTGATTAAAATTATTAAAAATAATTTGATTGTCAGAGATGATTTTATTTATATAATTAAGGAAAAACTAAATAATAATTCGTATTGAAATCTTTCTTTATGCTTAAAAAGGGTATATATGTATTATATTTTTAGATGCACATCATTTCATCACTCTCAACAGAATAAGTAATTAAAATATATAATCAAAGAAAAATGAAGTTCATTAAAATTTTGTAGAGCATGTAGTTTTAATTTGTTTTAGATTGGACGCATTTATTAAAATATTTATTTTACTTACAATGTACATAGAAAAGTATTTAAAAAAAATTCACTTTTCATTTAAATTTTATCTGGATTTCATACTGTTATTTACTGTATATAAATCTTTTATGTGTATAAATTGTATAAAATTTCGTTACCATATTTGTTTTATTGTTTTATTGTGAATAAAAATATGCAATCTTTATTATGTGGTTTATTTATTAATAATATTTTTTATAGTATTTTGAGTTACGATTTAGTCGTCGGATACGAATACTTGGAGCTGCGCTGTTTACATTAAAAGCCGTAAGTTATATATTTAAATTTATGTTATGCTTTACTATACACTCAATATACTTTTTTTACATTATTACCAATTTCTTTATACATTTTATAGATAATTTGGTTACCTATTGCCGTATACGTGCCAGCACTAACTTTTAGTCAAGGTATGACATTTAATAAAATTGTAAATACTATGTGTTCTAAACAGACAAAGATGCGATCGATATGTCATAGTATTTTACGATTTGTGTATTATAAAACCTTAACGTTAAATCGGAGCAATAACAGATGCGATAATGATATTGCGGTACACTGTCACGATGATGAAGCAGTGGCTTACACTAAACGTTCAGTAGAATTTTTTTGTAAATTTTTTTTAGCTGCTTGCATTTTTGGTGGCATTAGCTGGCAGTGTGGTTTTTGCTTATTTTAATTTAATGAACGAAATGGAACACTGATTTCGTACTTGAAATTTAATTTATAATGTAATTAGTAACTGATATAAAGGATTTTATATAAAGTTTAAAGCAGCTAAATGAAATTGCAAAATTATGCAAATTGCACTGCACAAAACATCGCCGTACTTTTGATGTCCATTGTTGTTGATTTTTATTACCGCAGAATACGGTGTATTGTGCCACATCGCATCAGTTTGTTTATAACTTTATTTAAGATATATATAAACTTATTTTTGTATTTCTTTTATAAAACTAATTTCATTTAACTTTTTTTTAGTTTCCGGTATCGGAGTCCATACTATAACTCCTATTGTTATTGTTATATGCACTTTCTATACTACTGTGGTAAGTACGAGTATTTAAATTAACCAATTAAGTACCAGGTAATTTCAGACTTGAAATTTTACGGTGAAACTTCTATAGTAAATAGTAAATTAAAACAAGTTTAAGTAAATGAGAAGTTTAATATTTATTTGAAAGATTACTCTTAATTTCTTTATATATAATATTCTTTGAATATCGAAAAATATTCAAAACTAGACGTGTGGTGCACAACACGGTGGTCCGAAATGGGTTAAGAATATATCAGAAAATAAGTTAATCTACGTTAATAGCAAAGAAAAGACATGAACAAAAATTTTGTTAATTTATTGAAATTTGGCTGACCATACAGCGCTGTTTCGAGTATTGTCCCGTACTCATCATCAGTGCTCTTAGGAAATATTGTTGAGTGATGAGTACGTGGCGAAACAGCTTGGTGTGATCAGCTAAATTTCAATAAATTAAATAAATTGTTGTTGATGTCTCTTCTTTGTTATTCGAATGCGTCTTAATGTTTTCTGTTTTTCATTATCTCAACAACTGTTGATAATAACTACTTGTTATAAATAATAACTACATGGCCTAAGTCACCGATAAGTGTAATTTTCAATTTAAAGAAAGACATCAAGAGATGTTGAAGAGATTTGTACAAAGAAATTTAATCGGCACTATAACTACATCACAATCAAATGATCATATGGTAATGCTTAGTATTAATTTTACCAAGTAGCGTCATATAAGTGTCTTGAGTGTGGCAGAATTAAAATTAGACGATCTAAATTTGGTAGAAATTTTCTAAACAGTAGAGATGTTGAAATGATGTTTTCATGAAATATAGGTTTTGAGATGGGCTTTTCTAATATTTATTTTTTTCTCAAATTTTTTTCCAAACAGGACATCTAAATCATGAAAGCACGTCTCATCAATTATATTTAATGAAAATTTTATTTCAATAACTCTATTGATGAAGAAAATCTCACATTTCGATCATCTAATTAAAATTTTGTTACCGTATGTGATGGAAGGCGAAACATTGAAAAATAAATAATAAAACGCATTTCAAAAAGTTTGCTCTGAAATTTCATAATAGCAACTTATTCCTAATATTAGTAGCGTAAATATTAATATAATTAATTTTATTTATTTGTTTATACGAATAAAAAAATACTGAATTTTTTAAGGGTGGCATTAAAGGCGTTGTTTGGACCGACGTTATACAAAGTTTCGTTATGTTTGGATCAATTATTGTACTCATGATTAAAGGCACAGTAGATATTGGTGGATTTGGGGAAATCTGGAAACGTAATATGGCAGGTGGTCGTATAAATTCACCAGAGTAAGATTTTTTACAATGGATAAACAAGCATTATTATCGATTTTAATATTTCTTTAGACTTACGCTTGACCCCACAGTTCGTTTGAGTGTATTTGCTGTTTTTATAGGTGGCACATTTTTAAAAATCCAGAGCACATCCATAAATCAACCCACGGTGCAGAGATTTATGTCTTTACCATCGCTTAAAAAGGTAAAGCAAACAATAATAACTTTTTCGATTGGTGTGATTCTTTTGTACTCGTGCTGTGTATATGTGGGTCTATTAACATTTGCAACTTATCATCATTGTGATCCAATCACAACAGGCGTAAGTTATTGATTGCAGTATAAGAAATTGATTTTGGAGTATAAGAAATGGTCTTAATCGTTTGATCTTATATTGCAGTTAGCAAAAGCTCGTGATCAGTTGGTACCTCTTTTGGTTATGCATGTACTGGGTGCATATCCTGGCTTACCAGGTCTATTCGTTTCTGGAGTTTTTAGTGCTGCATTAAGTTCTCTCTCAACTCTTTTAAACTCACTTTCTGCTGTTGTATTAGAAGACTTTGTGAAACCCAATATCTCAAAACCATTAACTGAACGTACTACTGCTATAATTATGCGTACGGTAGTTATAGTTTTTGGTCTAAGCTCTATTGGATTAGTATATGTAGTTGAGAAGTTAGGAATGATGCTACAACTATCTGTTTCTTTACAATCAATAATTTATGGACCAATGTTAGGAATTTTTAGTGTTGGTATGTTAATGCCATGGATTAATGAAAAAGTAAGTACTTACAATAATTTGTTTAATATATAAATTTTAAAAATTTAGTAATTATTTTAAATTTATATTTCTGTATAAATAATAATTAAATGTAAGCAATATAATTGAGTATAATTTTTTAATATCGTTAGTGCGTTCTCTCTGGAAGCATTATTTCAGTTCTTACTATGACCTGGATTTGTGTAAATGCTCAAATAGCAAACGTAACTGGAACATTTCGTCAACCTAAATTACCTGTTTCTATAGAAAGTTGTGACTATAATTTTAATAGCAGTCGGTATATAAATTCAACGATTGCACAGTAAGTAATGAAACAGTACATTGGACTTTTAATTAAAATGAATAATTGGTTAACAACTTCTTTTGCAAGGCCTATTCCACATGATACTACTTTTGCTTTGCATCATATATCATTTCTATGGTATTGTTTTCTGGGAGCTATGCTCACAGTGATTGGATCTAATTTAGCAACACTAATATTTGGTGTTAATAAGGCCACCGATATGGATGAAAAGTTGTTTGCACCTATAGCTTTACGTTACTTTAAGAAAACTGTTTATAAGAGTGTGAATCAAAAGGATCTGGAAATGCTTAAGAAATAGTCTGAATGACGGAAAAGAGAATAAGGACAAGAACTTATTTGTCATAATTATTATTTAAAAATTGTTTTTTTTGGGATAATGAGTTTCATATATTTTTGTTTATATTTACTTAAGCCATACTACATTACTTTTAATAAAATAGTTTCATATTGTTTTTGACTTTATTATAATATTGTCAATTCAGAATTTTTGTAATATTTAATGGCGGCTATGTAGTTAATAATATACGTTTTTAAATTAAGATTTCTTTTAATTATCAAAGAAAACTTAAGAAAATTTCAACTATAAATAAAAAATCGTTCACTATTTTCATCTACGCAATGAGTTTTTATTACATAATGTGAGAAATAAGTACTATTTTTTAATATAGATTGTTAGGGAAACATGCATTTATTTATTTATAACTCTTGCATTGATATTAATTTTATAATTAATTTAACAATAATTACTAGAAAACTTTAATTAAAATAATTTATAAGAAATAGTATTAATATCCTTTGTAATTTATTTTTTCCGTTTTGCACTAATCTATAAGTATAAATATATGCAAAAAGAGTTATATATGATAATTGCATTTATATACGAATTCTTTTTAATTATAAATAATTGCTTTAAACGTATTCATGTAAATATTGCATACATAATCATAAAATATTTTGGCGCTTGCTTGGCTGCTTATATACAATACTGCACTGCTTGGAAGTTATATATATTATGCATATATGTAATATATATATATATATATATAGATAAGCATATATTAATAATAATAAACGTTAAAAATATTTATTTTAAAAAATTGGTTTTTATTTATAGTATTTTGAGAGACGTTTCGATAGAAAAATACGATTGTTCGGTTCTCTACTTTTTGTGATATTGGAGGTAAGTTAATGTATGCAATCGGTCTTTTTTTCATTAATATTAAAAATTTATCATATTTTACTATATTAGTAATAAAAACTGATTGTAATAATTGTAGCAATAAACTAATTGTTGTAATATATATAAGAAAAAATACTTTTATATAATTTTTTTTTTTTTAAATTTTTCAGTTGCTTTGGATGCCAATTGCAATTTATGTGCCCACTTTGACTTTCAATCAAGGTGATATATAAATTAATATTAAAACGTTAGCAATTTGCATATATATTTAGTCGGACTCCTCTATAACTGCCGATGCCTTCGTTACAGACAGTTGTCGATGAAAAAAAATTTTTTTGTACTTTTTAAAGGCTCGATTCCGTTACATAGAGGAATAAAAAATTTTTTTTGTCAGTATGGAAATTTATAAGGAACACAAAACTATATCTTAGATATTTAATTATTACTTAGGTATACTAATAAAAATACATTAAAAAAGTATTACAAAAACTTGAAAAATAAGTGGATGTTGTTAAAGTATTAAGGTTATATGGTAGTCCTACACTAAATTTGATACAATTATTAAATGTTTCTAGATTTAAGTCATTATAAACAGCATTTTCAATGATATTTTCCCTTTTTTAAGTTTGTGCCACCATCTGTTACTTTTGGCGAAGATTGTATAACCTAACACTTCCGCATGTTGTTTTGTTCCTTTTATAATCAGTTTATATTTTGTAATTATTTTTCATTTGAACGTATTTACCTACTTACTTACTTAGTTGGCTATTACAGACGTAAGTCGTCCTTTGCCGTTTCGATTAGCCTCCGCCAGCCAGCCCAATTAGTTGCTTGCGGTCACTAATTGATACCGCCCCCAAATCGTTGGTCACCTGTTACTGTACACTCCCTCTTCCCTGCATTTGAACATAGTATTATCTTTATCTCTATAATTACAAGCCCTTACATTTTTATGACTTTTTACATAGTTTCTCTATAATTTTGTTTTCTTGAAAAATGTTTGAAAGCCTAATGGGAACTGGATCTTGTTTTTGAAGTGTCGTGTGTATACATTGTAAATACATTTATATAAAAAAAAATTCAGGATTTAACACCATTTTTGACAATAGAATTATTCAATATCGGAAATTGTATTTCTTTGCTTGAAGAAACTTATTTTTGGGGAGAAGTTTGCTATAGAGAACTCGTAAATACGTAAAAGAATTGCAGTTTCCTCAAATTAACATTAGTGCAGAGAAGTCCGACTGTGTATTGTTTTATTTTAATAAATTTGGATATAATATTTTTTATATTTCATGTAGTACTTTTTTTAGAAAATAGTATTTTTTCGTGAATGTATATTTCGCGAATATTAAATATTAATATATTCATATATTATTAATATATTTACAAGTTTATATTTTTGTGGTATTTATTTAATAAATTTTGTTTCATTTAATTTTTTTAAAAGTGACTGGTATTGATCTGCACTCGGTTACACCAATCGTTTCTTTAATTTGTACTATTTACACATGCATGGTAAGTAAGTTAAAATACTTTTCTCGGATCCATAATTAATAGAAATAATTATACTAGAAGTCAAACATAAAA